TGTCCATTAGACGCTGGAAGGTTGCTGGAGCGGAACAAAGTCCAAATGGCATCACTTTGAACTCATACGATCTATCCGGCGTGATGAAGGCAGTCTTTTCTCGGTCTCTTTCATCAACCTGAATTTGCCAATACCCTGTCTTCAGATCAATGGACGAGAAGTACCTTGCATCACTAAGACGATCTAGGGTATCGTCGATCCTTGGTAAAGGGTACACGTCCTTCTTGGTTACACTATCCAACCGTCGGTAATCGACGCAAAACCGAAGACTTCCGTCTTTCTTTTTGACAAGGACGACTGGTGCCGCCCATGGGCTTTTCGATGGCTGAATTACATCGTCGTGTAACATTTCCTCAACTTGCTCTCGGATGGCCTGACGTTCACGTGCCGACACGCGATAAGGGCTTTGATGGAGAGGGCGGATGTCTTCTTGTGTTATGATTCGATGCTTTGCCAGAGAAGTGTGTCAGACCTGTGAAGAAGTGGCGAAACAGTCGTCATAACGTCGAAGGAGATTCTGGAGCAGTTACTGCTTGCATTGAGGCAAGAAGGGTTAATGTCAAATGACAGCTGCGAGTTGTGGGTCTGTGGGGTGACGGTCAGTGGATTCGAAAGGGCGAGGGTGTCACTGACTTCCGCGATTTCATCGAGAAAGGCAATGGTCGTGCCTTTGGCCAGGTGACGGTGTTCTTGGCTGAAATTTGTTAGCAGCACTGGGCCCTGTTCATTCCGGAAGTCCGCAATGCCTCCTGCGATTGCGATATCACGGCCAAGCAAAAGCTGTATATTACCTTCGACGACGCCATGGGCATTTTCAGCAGTACCAGTGGTTACGGGGATTAGGGTCGTTGATTGGGGTGGGACGCTCACGTCATTCTCGAGCACACGGAGGGCTGCGCGATTATGTGGTGCCGAGTATGAATTTATGGCTTCATCCGAGGAAAGTTTGATGGATCTGGACGCCAGGTCAATAACCGCGTGATGTTGAGTCAAGAAGTCCATGCCGAGAATGACGTCACGGGAGCACTGTGGGAGCACCAATAAAGTGGCAAGGTATGTGTGACCATCGAATGTCACCCTTGCAGTACATCGCCCCGATGGGGTGAGGAGGTGGCCTCCCGCTGTGCGGATCTGCGGGCCGTTCCAAGCCGTCTTAACCTTCTTCAGTTGTGCTGTGAATGGCCCGCTGATGACCGAGTAGTCAGCTCCTGTGTCAATCAAGGCAGTTACCGGGTGGCCGTCGATAGATACTTCGAAATCGGTGGCACGTGGGCTGGAGTTGCACGTTGGTTTTGGGTTCGGGTCACGGCTTCGTCTTGTTGCTTCGTTTTGCTTCGTCTCGCGGCTTGGGTTGTTGTGCGTTGTCGTCGTGGTAGATGATGTGCTGTCGTCATATATGGTCGTCGGTGGAGGGTCTTCGGCTTTTCTTCTTGAAGCATTCTCACCTCCAAAGATTGCTGGTTTTAGTTTCACCTACGGGGGCTTGGGGACCTTCTTCGTTCGTTGTTGCTGTGGTTTGGTGACGTGAAGCGTGGGGATGGCGGTGATGGAGAACGGCTGGACAAGTACTCTGTATGGCGCAAGTAGTCTTCATTTGCCGGAGGTCGTTGTCCAGGGCGTGGCCGTGGTGCCCGAGATGAGAAGCCATGCAGTCCCATCCGCCTGTAGGGGCAGTGTCGAAGAATGTGGCCGGCCTCACCGCAGTGAAAGCATAGGGGACGGTCGTCGGGAGTTCTCCAGGTGTCGCATTTTCTTTGGCTCGGGCGTCTGTCGTATGTAGGGTGGGCGGGGAAGGGCGGACGGCTACTTGAGGCTGCAGCGTACCGTCGAGGACTGGGCTCGTTTCGTCGGGGTGGCCTAGTGTTCACTGCAGCGGCGTAAGTCATTGCTTCGTCCTCTGTTTGAGTCGTCGCTGATGAAGAGCCAAGTGCCTGCTGGACTTCATCACGCACTATGTCCAAGAGAGATGCTCCTTGAGGGGGCTGGGGGTAGAAGGCAGCAATCGGCGTAGTTCTTCTTTAACCACTTCTCGAATAGCTTCCCGCAGATCGTTGGTGGTTAATCCACCTCGAATTGTTTCACAGTAGAGCGAGCTGAGCTGAAACGGGCGGTTGTATTGCCGAGTCCGGGCGTCCAGGGTCCTTTCTATGGTGTACGCTTCTTCAGTAAATTCGGCGGCTGTTTTAGGAGGGTTCCTTATGAGACCAGCGAAAAGCGACTCCTTCACCCCTCGCAATGGGTATCCGACCTTTTTGTCTTCGGTCATGTCTTGGTCCGCTCGCCTAAAAAGACGTTTCATTTCTTCGACGTACACGTTTAGGGTCTCATTGAGCTGTTGGGTCCTCGATTCTAGCAGCAGCTGGGCCCTTTCTTTTCGCATGATGCTGGTGAAGGTCCTGAGCAACTCATTCTTCGGAAATTCCCAGGTGGTCAGTGTGGTCTCATGGTTTTCATACCACGTTTTGGCGGGGCCGTCCAGGGAAAAGTAAACGTATTGCAGCTTCATTTCTTCATCCCGCCAGGTTATGGTAGCCACGTGCTCGAATTGGTCGAGCCATTCTTCTGGGTCTTCAGCGGCATAACCATGGAAAGTTGGGGGCACCCGCGGCTGCTGCAGCATGACAGGGGTAGGTGATTGCGGGGTGCTCATGGTGGCCGTGGAAGCGTCCTTTCGTGGTTGCGTGGGGTCCGGTAGCGGTCCCAGCTCAAGTGGCAGGTTTCGGAGGCGGCGACTGCTTCGAGTATCTGTGTCTTCAGCGTCCTCGTTCTCTTCAGTGGCTGTTTTAAGGTCGTTTTTGTGCATACCCCGCACCTCCACCAGATGTCACGTAAGAGTGAGGGTAGCCCGAATACAGGAGACCGGGAGGCTAGTAGAAATATAAGGAGATCCGTTTATTTGGTGGACTTGCGCCCGCTAAAGGAAAACAGACACATCGGCTTAGCGGGTGGCGAACAGCGTGTTCGACGGCCGTCGGGGAACAGAATGTCCCACTGGATCACAAGGCGCGTTCACCATCTGAGATACAGTCGATGTAGCGTCTGGCGCTATCTCGTTATCAACGAATGGTCGACGTGCGGGCCATGGTCTTCGCGGAAGAATCGCGGTGCATCCTGGACCACGATAAGGCCGCGTGCCGGCGGTATCGGCATGCGCAACACTATCCGCAATACGCCTCGCGGCAATATAAATAATACATAGCACTAATGGCATTCATACCGAAATACAAAAAGTCTCAGCACTAATGAGGAACATGATATATTGCATATTAAATATCAAGTGTTAGATCATTGACGAGATGGGCGAACGATTGTGTCGTGTCTGCATTAACGACCTCCTGAGGTAACTTGTTTCATAATGAAAGAGCATGAGGAAATAATGAGTACTGATGAACGTTCAGATGACTGAATTGTTGTCTAACTGTTTTATTAGGGTGAATACGTTCAAAGCGCACGGACGAGTTGGTTATGTAGCAATTGGGTGGAATTTTTAAGTAACCATGGTACAATTGATAGACGAATTTTAATCGAGAGACTATTCTACGATGAGCGAGTGTTTTCAGATTTGTCTTCTCGCGAAGGGCAGAGACGCTTGCAAAACGAGAGTAGCTAGAATAAATGAACCTCAGAGCCAGGTTTTGGATCCTCTCTATTGTAAGTGAACTGTCGTGCGCTAGTCACGTACTCACATAGGGAGAGTATTCTCGGCACTGAAGTTCTTCTTATCTGAGTAGCGATCTCACATATTAGAAAGTAAAACTGAAGGTTTGTACCAAAACAGCTGTGTGGGCTAGTTAGCAGTGGCTTTTTACGAAAGATAGAAGTGGGGCGCAGTACTTAAGAGGGACTGGAGGAGAGAAGAACAGCACAAGCAAAGAACACATTTCGATTGTGTTGTTCTTCTCTCCTACAGTCCCTATTACGTACTGCTCCATATCTGTCCTTCAGTAATGAACCGATGCTTTGGCAGTGCATAGTTTCAGTGGTAGCAGAGGCCGCTCACATCACTCTAAACAGATCTGTTGTCTATACAACTTTCGTTGTTTTTCCCGGGTCCTGACTTCAGGGTTGGACGTGCTAGCGATCGGTCTCAATCGAGAAAATGTGCATTTCGATACACCTTGCAGGTGAATTAAAATATATTCTGAACATTTGCTGTGTCCAACCTTTCGTGTGCAGCGTCCTTGCATACAGAGAAAACCTACAACCCGCATCGTATAGCCTCCTAATTTGGTGTCACCACCCTTTTAAGAACCTGGGAAGAACACGTTTTGCCCCAGTTCGAAGCTAAGGGTAAGGCAAGCAGCACTACAAGAAAGCATATGTTTTTATGTTTACTTTAACTTCAAATTTATGAATACGAATAGAAACCTTTATTAAACATTGCTGGACATTTCTCCTTAATTTCAGAAAAGAAAGAAAACAAGTTTTTTTTGGTTGAATGAAACTAAAACTGAAACAAAACATTTTCTTCCTACACTGTGCCACCGCTCAAATAGAACAAAAACAACAAACTCACAGGGAAAGAAACCCTACATAACATTCGAAAATGCAGCTTTACTTTACATGACTACCGCTTCGAACCCGGAGGAAAACAAAGCCCTATACAACTCTAGAGAAAAGATCTTACTTAACATTACTGACAGCTACACGCATGCCCACAATTTCGGATACACAATTTGTGAGCTGTGTTGCATTCTTCTTGCGCAAACTAAACCATGGCCTACACAACAGGAACTCCTGCACAACCTTATCAGCACTGTTATGACATGTTGGTAGCGCTGAACATACAAGTTCAGTTGACAAAATCAAGTCAGTGACATGCTTGAATGGAAGTTTTCCAACTACTAGTGACTCGCAAACTTTTCTCAGGTAACTCTCCGTGCATTTTAAGAGAGACATGGCTGAAGCTGACGGTCTGCATAAAGATTACTAGTCAGGTTCATAAATGTTTAGCTGCAGAAGCGAGTCAGCCCTAGCAGCTTCATTTGCAGTGAACGTACCTTTGCATAGGTCAGAAAACGCATACTTCTTGTTCACACTTCGTGCGATGTACCATGCCAGGTGCTCTAGAGACTCCTGCTCTTCTGGCACAAGATTTTGAAGCTTAGCTGGCATTCTGACATCACCTAACTCTGCACGTGGGCCGGGCCTTGGGTTTCGAAATTCAGTTTGGTGAACAGTATCATCTGTCACACGGTTACCATGCTTGCTAGGATTGAAGGGCTGCGCAAGCACAATACGTCTTAAAGAAGGCACTGTCTAGCACTAAAGACTAGTGATTTTGTTTTACTGCACCAAAAGACTCTTTAAAATACCTTGTGATAAGCAACACAGCAGAAGAAACTCAAGGTCTTTGCACTGTACGTACCAGTGGCGAAGATTTAATACCGTAGTGGTGATTATAATCATGTCAGCCTGCACTGGCTTCCACGATGTCTTAGGCTGGCTGTGGTAACGAAAGGTTGATTTTTCTGAACATCGCATAAAAGTCGTGAAGGAACACTTTAACTTCGTTGCCAGTTTGTGGGCACAAATCGCTTAGAGCCAAAGCTGGTGCTCTCGATGTCATTGGTAAAAACCAGTTAAACACCTGATCGAGCAACCAAGCAGTTGTCAGCGCTTTCTTCTCAATCATTTTCTGCTCATTCTGAAGCCGCAATGCACCAAAAATTCTTTGAGAAGACAAAGCACAAGCTGTCTTCAAATTCATTTTGTCGAAGTGGCTTGTGTTCAAATGCTTCAGCTTCAAGCGCGGTGAAAGCTTCAGGCGTGCTGTTCATCGATCTTGCAAAGCTGCTTCACAAATTTTAGGCTGACTTCAAAGCAGACTGGAAAAACAGGCTCATATTTTCTATTTATGTAGTTATTCTCACACACAAATTTGTTGTGTGCTAGAAAAGTCAGAAAAATATAGATAACAATTTGTAGGTCATTTGGAATGTAAGCGTGAAAATTGCATGAAAGAAACAGTTTTTCTAACAATCTTTACCATGTGCTTTCAGGTTTTATAAATTACAGACTAACCAGCAAAGTTCGCAAGTAAGGTTAGATCTGCATAGGACATGTAAACTCTAAGCTGTAGGCACTGCAAAGTTGTGACAGGCAGCATATGCTACTAGAGACTGCAAGTGCTGTGATCACTAGAGGCCCGATTTTTAGGCACTTATAAAGTTAGTTTTAGGCGCCATAAATAGATGGCCAGAACAATGTTTGGGTAGCAAAAAACAGGAGGAGTAAACAAGTTTTATAGGCTTCCGACACTGAAAATTTTGACACTATTAGGTTTTACATTATTGCAAATAATTTAAAACAAAGACGTGCGTGGCCATAGCTATGACAAGAAAAGAAATAAAATGAAAGCATTGTGCTATAGAGGTGCCAAGTCTGACAGAACGGTGGAGCTGGGTGGCCTTATTTGTTTTTTTTTGTTTATTTTTACTGTCTTTTTAAAGCTTCTTTCTTCTAATGAGCTCTTCATTTCTTCTGTTTTTATACTTTTTTGCATATTCTTTTTTCTCTGTGCATATTTACTGTTTTCGGTTTTGCTGTTCCTATCTCTTTTTTCTCCTCCCTCTCTATCTTTAGATAGACTATGTGAAGTTTAACGTCCTAAAACCACTATATGAATATAAAAGACGCCGTAGTGTAGGCTCTCCTGAAATTTCGACCACGTGGGATTCTTTAACGTGCACCCAAATCTGAGCACACGGGCCTTCCCGCTCTATGTTCCGCTTCCTTTACCTAGTCAATGTTTTGCTCTTTCCATCGAAATATTTCTCATTTATTATATTTCTGTATCTTCCCGCTTCTCTTTCTCTCTATGCGTATCCCTGTCATTATAAAGAATGCTATACACTCTCCCTTCACCTCTTCCCCTTTCCTAGTTCTAACTTCTCCCATCGTCAACCTCGCTTCCACTTTCCACCGCTTATGCGTGCTGCACTATACAAGGTTACGTTATGCTCTTCTAGCGTGCTTGGACAATGCACTGGTTACGATTCTCTTCTCCGAATTGTCAGTACGCGGTTTATATTACCGCTTCCGCGAGAAACGTTTCTGCCAGAAAAATCTTACTCTTTTTTTTCTAAATCTTTTGTTCCTTTCTTTTTATGTGCACTCGATCATTTAGCCATCAGAGTTGTTACAGGACACGGAGCAGCTGCTTCTGCGAGCGAAGGAGAAGATGATGAAGGACGAAGGTGAAGATGAGGCTAAAGATCCCACGTGCCGGGTCTTGATGATAATTTCTGTTACTGACTCTTACTTTCTAAATTGATTGATTGATTGATATGTGTAGTTTAACTTCCCAAAACCACCATATGATTATCAGAGACGCCAGTAGTGGAGGGCTCCGGAAATTTCGACCAACTGGGTTTCTTTAACGTGCACCCAAATCTGAGCACACGAGCCTACAACATTTCCGCCCCCATCGGAAATGCAGCCGCTGCAGCTGGGATTCGAACCAACGACCTGCGGGTCAGCAGCCGAATACTTTAGCCACTAGACCACTGTGGCGGGGCTCTTACTTTCTAAACCTTTTATTCCCTTCTTTCTATGTGCAATCGATCATTTAGCCTTCAGAGTTGTTGCAGGACACGGAGCAGGTGCTCTGGGAGTGAAGGACAAGATGAAGGACGAAGGTAAAGATGAGGCTGAAAAGCACACGTGTTGAGTCATGATGATAATTTCTGTTTACTCGTCTCGGGCTAATGCTCAGCTTAAACATCTCGACTCATAAAAATTCTCCTATTCGGTCCCTCCTATTCAGTAGCATATATAGTGAGTGTAGTGTATGGTGGCTAGAAAGTCTTACTTCACTGCTCACACTGCTGGAACTTGTCCTGTACTGGTCCTTGTTTCTACGTGCCCCCAAACTTCCATCGTACTATTTCAGTGCTGTTAGCAGTTGGTTTCCGCAAGTTCGTTGAACCTCACAGAATTCTTCTCAGTTTTTTCCCGACAACAGAAATAACAGTCTTAAACTACACTTTGGAGCGACATATGAGGTTAACTAGCAGTGATACTGGCAGAAATTCGGAATATAGGCGTTTAGGTACTTACTAGTATTTGTTGGCATTTAGGCAAAAACACCAAAAAACAGCAAATCAAATGCACTCTAAAACAATTTAAGGGTCCTTTGTGACTGCCAATTGATGCTCATATACAAAAATTGCATGGTAAGTACACAAGAAACAAAAATCACAGTATATCCATGGAGTGAATGATGATGAGTGTGGCGAAACGTCCGTAAGTCCGTCCTTGTTTCCATCCGTTCGTTCGTTCGTTCGTTCGTTCTTCTTTCCGTCCGTCCGCGTGACCATTCATTCATCCTTTCATGCGCCCATCCGAATGTCCGTGCGTCTGCTAGTCTGTCTGTCCGTCCGTCTATGCGTCTGTCTCTGCATTCATCTAGTGAACGCTCCAAGTACCACCATCTCCCATATCAGATCTTTTGTGGCACATACCCGTTTTAAAGCGGCTATGTGCCACTGGTGGCTACAACTGGTGTCACTGCTTGCTACTACAACATACATCGGAGGATCTACAGACCCACGCCTTAAGGAGCTTCGCTCATATAATAGAGATTAGCCTAAAATGTGGCCTCCACTGATATGGTCTTTTTGCCAGCACGTTAGCTTGCTCGTTTCTTTGGATTCTCACATGAGGTGGGACGCAGTGCAGCAAAACATCCACGCCACTGGCAAGGAGAGAATGCAAATTTGTGACGAGAAGCCTTGTTCTGAAGCCTGCCCTTTCCGGATTTGCAATGCCAGCAACGCAGCTTTTGAGTCGCACACCACAGCCACGGGGAATGTTGCGCGGTTTACTGAAGGAGGTGAACTGCCAGGTGGAGACCGGCCGTCTGTGCAGCGGTAGAGCAGGCCGCAAAAGGAGGACGACAGAAAACATTCGCTCGGCCGACGATTGAGCGTATGTCGGGGATGACGGAGCCATGCGTGTATGCAATAAGCTTTCCAGCCAGCTCTTCTAGCTTGAAGGCAGATGCCTGCTTGAGAGTGCAAATGAATGAGCGATGCTTAAAGAGCCCTCCCAGGTCGGTGTTGTAGCAAGTGGTTTTTTTTTATGCGCAAGAGGAATGGCTGGAGGCACCGGTCTGAAAGCTACTAGATAAATCTGCAGAGTCTCACCCATTCGAAATCCCGGTCGACTGCAGCCGGGCAAGCAGGGGGCGCCCATGAGGCCCATGGGCTTGCCGATCAATTTGTTAAAAGCAACCTTATTGGAGGAGCAGGGTAAGAGGCCAGAAACTTGCCCCTGCCAGAGTGGCTGAGTTATGAGAGGACAGTGTAAGACCGAGGACACATCAATTCAGGCCCCTATGCAGCAACTCGAGGCGATCCAGAAGCCGCCGAGGAAGTGTCGCCACAAAAAATGCGTATAGCAGCCGCGATGTCACTGCTGCTGAGTAATAACGAAAAGCCCGGGATGGTGAGCAGGCGGAGCCGCTGCTGAAAATGCCCTCCACTGCCGTCTAGCTTCTCTTCACCATGCGTATGACCTCCTTGGCTGTTAAATCCAGGACAGCCGATGATCGAAGTAAAGCCCGGTATAGGTCGCCACACCTTCCCACGGTATTTTGGTGCCCTCGTTGTTTAGAAAGGCCACCCTGCTGCGTTTTTTTTTGGTCCAGGGTACACAAGAAGGCCCTTCGTTTTGGCCGAATAGACAGCCAGACCTACAGATGCAACACGGCTGACCACAGCATTCAGTTCACTTTGTAGGCAGGATCAAACCGTTCGCAGATTCTTCGTAGGGCGCCGATTCCACAAGGCACCGTCGTCAGCATAAAAGATGCTTTGGACTGGGTAGCTCTGGCTGGAAGTAATAACAGCTGGCAGATGTGCCAATGCGATTTTAAATAGGAAGGGGCTCAGTACAGAACCCTGTAGCACCCCTGTAGATACCGGCTTTGAAGAGCTGAGTGCATGGTCGACTCTCACGCGGAAAAATCGGCCGGACAGAACGCCCTGCACGAAGTGCCGCATGGGGCCATGCACACACAGGGCTGCTAGTGCCTGCATAATTGCCAACTGTGTGGCAGGCCATCAAAAGTGTTCTGCACGTCTAAAAGCACTAAAGGGCCCCTCTTTCCT